CACACACACACACACACACACACACACACACACACACACACACACACCCCTTTCTCCAGTTGGAGCATCGTTCAGTCTTCAGATGAGACCACCCGTGTGGAGCAGAAACTCAAGCTGACTCATTCGGATCTTTCAGGTTCTGTTGGGCCCGTTTCGTCCTGTTTGATGTTCTCTGCTGAACTGGACTTGGACTCTTCAGTGAATGTTCAGGTCAGCTGTAGACCCCCAGAGGACCGGAGGTGAGGTGGTGACCATGTGGATCCCCACACCCAGCATGACGCTCCCCCAGAGGATGGTTCTGTACGGGACCTGCCTCGTGGCTCTGATGAACTCTGTGGGCCTCTTGGTGCTCATGGTCCAGCAGAACCAGCAGCAAGTCTGGCTGGAGAGGACCGAGGCGAGGCTGACGGAGGTGGAGCAGAGCTCGGTGGTGGAGTTCCTTCAGGAGGTTCCAAGAGGAGCCGCAGGTCTGAGGGCCAGTGCGGTCCAGGATCCACAAGTCCAGAACTCCAGGAACAAGAGAAGTGAAGATCTGAAAGAGGAGGTTCACCAGGAGATGAGAAAGAAGGTCCACCAGCAGGAGACCAACCCAGAGGGAGGAGGAGAAAAGGAGACGAAGCAGAAACACAGAACCAGTCAGCGGTTCCACAAAACCCAGGAGGACATGATGATGATGATGACCTACTCCATGGTTCCGGTGAGTCCAGAGTTTGATCAGGAGCAGAACTTTATTTTTTAAAAGTTCCACATTTGATCTCAACATGTTAAATATTATTTAATGAGGGAAAAATGAAGACTGCAAAAAAAAAAAAAAAAAAAACCCTCTGGGAGCTGAAAAGTAGCAAAAGATAAGCTAAAGGAGCACAAAGTTAACTAAAAGCCAAAAGTAGCAGAACGTAAACAAAAAGCAAAAGTAGCTAAACATGAGCTGAAAGTATCAAAAGGCTAGCTGAAAGTAGCATAAAAAACTTAACAGCCAGTAGCTGAAGCAGATTTCAAAGAGAATGTTTTTGATGGAACTGAAAAGATTTCACGTCTTTAGAAGAAACATTTGTGAATAAACTTAAAAGATTAAAAATAAAGAGCAGCGTCCTGACTGAGCCCAGCGTTCTGATAGAACGGCTAAAAGATCAACTGAACGATGCAGAAGTTGTTTGACTGCAAAATAAATAAATAAATAAACATTAATAATAAAGATCAGTACTGAGCATAAACTGACTCCGCATCAAAAACAATAATTGCGTTTTTATATAATTGATGGGTCTGTCTGTATTTTTGTATTTACTTAAATATAAATGTGAGTTTTTCAACTGAGGTACAACGTTATTACCGATTTAATATTTTGTAGAAATTATTGCATTTTGAATGTTTTTTTTAAATATAATTTTCTGCCTTTTTGTAGATCAAACTATTGATTGACATTTGCAACAGCACCAAAGGAGTCTGCCTCGCAGGTATGCTTTTAATAAAGACACTTAATTATATAAATGGTAAATTAAATGTACTTTTTACTTTTTAATACTGCGTGATGTTGCTTTGCAGGACCTCCAGGACCTCCAGGACCACCAGGACCTACAGGTAAGTGAAAAATGTGACCCGTTTGTGGTTTAATGACACTTACCGTTACAATTTTCTCTGTTCGGCCAACTGTGTGTGTTCCTGTAGGTCCGCCTGGTGCAGACGGTTTGCCGGGCTACAATGGGACCGATGGGATCCCAGGACTGGATGGACTGCCAGGGGCTGATGGGAAAAGAGGGAAAAAAGGTACTGAAATAGCAACACACCATTTTTCCCCTTTGTCCAGGTTTCAGCCATTTTAAAAAAGGACTTCTTACTGTAGGTCTGTCAGATTTGACCCAAACTGCATCCTTAACCAATGACTGACAGGAAGAGGAAGTGATTCCTTTTCATCATTTTTTTCTTCTTCTGTGGTTTCTGAATTTGGTTAAATGAACTGAAAGCGTCTCTCGGTGCCTCGTGTTAGAGATGGAGTCATTCGTGCGTTTACCAATGAGAGTGTGTCGAGGTGATAAATTCATAATGTCATCCACAGGACCACCAGGAGAGAGGGGGGAACCGGGAGAACAAGGCGAGCGTGGAGAGCCTGGTCCCCCTGGAGAAATGTCCCAACCTTCTAATGAAGTTGCCATCGAGGGCAAGAAGACCTTAACTAAATCCAACTCTTCTTACATTTCAAAGGTTTTGGTGTTTTACTTTAGACTCTTTTCTTTATTAGGTCCACCTGGTCCTCCAGGACCTCCAGGGCCAGTGGGACCGCCAGGACCTCCAGGACCTCAAGGGCCTCCCAAGACACGGCACCACAGAGCCCACCTTCAGGCTGCTCATTCGGGTAACATCAGCCGTACAGTTCTGTCGTGGATCTGCAGTTCTCCCGAGTTTCTGAAGAGGTTTCAGGGTTTTTCTTTGAATGTTGGCTTATGCTTCACTCGTGTTCGGTACCCGACTACTTTCAGAGGAACATTATTAACGTAAGAATCAAGATCTTTATCGTCCCTCAAAGGAGAGATTTTGTTTACAGCAGTACATACAACTAAACAATAACAATATGTACTTTGTATGTTAAACGTGGAAGAAACCAACATAAGTTATTAAATCATCAGTGTTAATAAAAAAAATCTGTTCAGTGTGTGTGTTGGGGATGACTCAGCTACTACCACTTTGAATTTATCTCAATAGTTGTAAAATACACAAAAATCTGGAAAGATTTACAGAAACCTGGAAGAATTACAAATATTTTTTGCACAGTTCTCTGCTGACAGAACAGTCTTGCCAAATGACCGACTACTTATTCAACCTTTATTTAGACAGATAAATCACAGTGAGCCTTCGAGACTCATTTACACGTGAGATCTGTTTACACAAAGACAAAAAAGTAGTGAAACTGAACACATGTAGGATTTGGAGGCAAAAAAAAATCATATCAAGCTCTTTCTTCTTGGCTGAGAAGAAAGACCCTGATAATGAAAAAAACACCCTGCACAGACAAGCACATGGTGATGTAGAACATTTTGCTGTAGAATATTTAGCTGGTTCCCTCAGGTTGTCAATGGACTTCCTCGAAGTAAGGGAGGGGGGCAGAGCATCAGATTACAGAGCCTCCATGCGAATTGA